TGTGATCATGAGAAGCTGTATTAACAGAACTGTGAGATGAAAGTGTTTGTTTGTTCCAGCAGTGTTGCATGTGCCTGGTTCTCACAGATTTCAGGATGTCTTTGTAAATCTTTGCACTGATCCTACTGTTGAAGAACAGTTTTATAACAAAAGAAACATTGATATGAATAGATGCTTGTGAATTAGTGTTAGAGAGCTTCATGGACATTTGAGGCATTGTTAATAAGAAATCCACAAAGACTGTTTGAATGCTTAGCTGGTAGTTACAAGTATTTTGTTAGCACTTTTAATACCACTTACGAGTTTCTACTTTTAAAATGATAACATATTCACAAGTGGGAAGAAGCACACATCTGAGATTTTAAATAAAGGCTTAAAATAAGCCTATATGCTAGGAACAGATGTTTTTAGAGGAATAATGTTGGATGTAATACTTGTCATACAGCTGTACTAGCTTTCTAATACTGTGTAATCATCAATGGTATGGAAGTGGTCCTGTTTTTCTGTGGGTTACCAAACTGTTAATGCAGTACCTGTGCTCTCTGGGAGCAGTAATATAACACGTTTGTGTTCATTTCTTTCTTTGATTTATGCATAAATCAAAGAATAAATCAAAGAATGGCATATAACTCATGGGAGATAAAGGAAGTTTTGTTTCTGAGCAAGTTTTTCATGATTTGTAAATGACACATGACCAAATTCAGAAGTGATGTTCATTCTGTGCTGCAGGTCAGTAAATGGGTTTGACTCAAAGGGCAACCACATTGATGTCATGTCAGGGCTAAAGATTGTTCTCTCTTATGACAGTTATACACAAAATGAAGTTTTGTTAACCCTGACTTACAGCACTGACGTGACTGGACAATGAACTTCTCTAAGCAGGCTTGACAGAACAGCAGTTCAAAGACTTCTGCAAGGCTGAATTGAGAAATAAGTCTACCTTCGTACATTCCATAGCCATCCACACTCATTACAAAATGTGATAGTCTCAGTAATACTCCTGATCACTATTACTCTATTTCTTTTCACAGTTGTAACATCTGTTCTGTTATCAGAACAGCCTTAACAAAAAGGCCAGCCAGAAAATAAATAAGTGAAGGGAGGAGGCAGATAAGTTTCTTTAAACCATTTCTGTTGCAGTTCCCATAATTAATTTCTTTCCTAGTTTTTGCCTTTGGCTGAGAACAGTAATATACCATTAACCCGAGGATGTGAAACATGCTGTGCAGTGCTTGGAAGGGTGTCAGAAGCTCCTCCTGTAAGGGTAAGGAGCTATTTTATTGCCTTTTCAGTTGTTGGACAGTCTAATCCCAGTAAGCATTTCAGCAACTTCTAAGGTAATTGTGAAACCTGATGGTTGATTTTTGTAATTAACATGTTGCAAAGATGAACGTAACCGGTCATATACATCAGGACAGGTGTGGCAGCTATTACACTTAAAGTGCTATCTAATGCATTAAAACCTGCTGGACTTTGAAGCCTATTTTTAGTAAGAGAATAAATAAGCTGTCTGTGCCCTACTTTTTGCCAAAATGTGTCACGGGATCTTTATATTTGATTAGAAAAGTCAGTAGAAATAACACAAGGGAACTCATTGTCTCATCTAAAAAGTTCTAGCAATTCAGTGCTCTTTTTCATGACAAAAAATTGCTAATATTGGGTATGAGTTCAGACCCACGCAGTGGGCAGGTGAGAAGCAGCTGGGGGAGACTTGTCTGCGCGATGTGTGAGGTTACGTGGAGACACAAGTCTGGGCTCTATTAGGCACTGTTTATTCAAGATGCTTTAATGAAAGATTGTGTTGTATGGGTGTGTTAGGAAATTGGTAAAACTAAAAAAGTATGTAGAAATGTTTATATATAAAAGGAGAGCATAGCAGCAAAGTCAGACTGCTGTGTCAGGATGGTGTTGCTCTTTGTGAAGGCCTTGCTTACTCTGACCAAGTGCTTTCGGTCTTTGCTGTCTGTTACAACAGGGACATCCACCTGCCTGATGAATAAGCTATCTTGTGCAGTGTGTCCATACCCAGAAACCCATCTGTCATGAGCAGGAGCAGAAAATAAGCGACTACTCACAAATGTTGTAGTATGCAACCAGTGACTACGGCATGTTCAACCAGTTTCTGTACAGAAAAATCATACGAAAAATATTGCTTTATTACAACAAGGTTAGCATAGAATTGGCATAAATTGATCAAAAGTGTCATCATTTAAGAGTGTCTACCCAAAAACTTCTAATTGTGGCGTTTGTGATTTGAAGCAATATGGCAGTGTGTGCCTACTGCTGTGGATGTACAGGATGGGATACTGGGGTTTGGCTCCCAGCTCATACTGATGCACTCACAGCCTCAGTCAGGGATTCTGGTCCCCTAGGTCATGGCCCAGACCCAGGGATCCCAAGAGAGATGGCAGTGCCCATGGGAGGGCGGGCTGTGCTGGTGGGCAGGCTGCAGGCAGCTCTGGGCGCTCAGGCTGCTCTCTGGTTGCCGCCACCCCTGTGTGACAGCTCAGTCAGCCTGCATCACAGGGGAAAAAGGGAAGGAGCTGAGCCCACTCAGTGACAGCAGGGCTCTGTCTCCCTTAAGGGTACATCAGCTGACTGCTTGTACTGCTGATGTGTTACAGCGGTCAGGAAAGGTCAGGAGGACAAGGAAGAGGCCTTCTATTTCTAGTGGCTTTGGGTCATTTAAGTTAGGTTTACAGATTTAAAATGAAGGGCCTCAAGCACTGCATTCAGTAAAGGCACAGAACAAGGAAGTGCAGGGATGAGTGTGCGGCTACCGGTGCCGCTGGCTGTGTGGGGCCCTGTTCAGATAACAGCTTGCCTCTCGGGCTCCTGTATGCCTGCTGTAGGTTCTTGGAGAACTTTCCACTGAAGTTTATATGTGTTAAATAACTGTTTAGCAAAACACTGTTAAAAGCTGCTTGGTGTTACTGCAGGCTGTAGCTTCATCAGCCAAATTCAGCATCCGTTTTGTCTGACATCTGCATTTGCAGTCTGGTACCGAATGTCACTCAGTCCATTATTTGCTGTTGTCTCCCTCTCCACCAGAGTCAGTGTGAGAAACAAAGAGCAGCTTATTGTAGAAGCACACGTGGGTACAGTCCTGGTACACAGAACACCTTCTGAGGGAGTGTTCTGCTTCCAGAACTGAGCAAGGCAGAGTTCTTCACCACAGCCATTATCGTACAATCACAGAATCACAGAATGGCATGGGTTGGAATGCAACATAAAGCCCTTCCACTTCCAACCCCCTGGCACAACAGGGATATGATACCACCCACCTGGCCAGGCTGCCAGGGCCCTATCCAACCTGGCCTTGGACACCTCTCCAGATGGGCAACCACAGCTTCTCTGGGCAGCCTATGCCAAGACCTCACTGCCCTCACAGTGAAGAACTTCCTGCTAACATCTGACCTAAACCTGTTCACCACAAGAAGTTCTGTGCATTAACTTATCAAGGCTGATAGGTTTGTGGATGTTGTGTTGTATCACAAAGGGGACATCAGCAAGTTGCCACCAGTACCAGCATTAAAGTTGTGGTAAATGATTTCTAAGCGTCTCCTGTCCAGTACTCAGCTGCGTTTTGGATCACTGTCCTTTAGATTTACTAAGATGCTTTTTCTTTTTTTTTTTTTTTTTTTTCTCCCTTTCTTTCTCTCTCCAGAGAAGTTTTTTCTGCTTTAGGCCAAAAATCTTTTGCACGTTTCCTCTCCTCTGCCTGGGTCTGCTGCTGCTACTGTAAGCTGTCTGCAGATGCACAGTGTGTGCATTGGTTCCTTTTTCTAAACATGGCTGTTACACAGGGCTAAAATAGTGTATACCAGAATGCTGAAAATGACACATTTTCAAGTGACCAAGAATGTGCCCTAGGTGTACAGCTGTTTCGCATGTAAAGACATGACTCAGATACAGCCTTTTTAGACAAAAACCTTTTGTTATACTGAGAACCCCCGCCCCCCCCCCCCGGGGGGCCCCCACCACCCCCCACCCCTCCCCCCCCCCCGGGGCGGCGGGGTGGAAGAGAATCTAAAAATAAGGAAATTGAAAATTTAAGTGATATTTAAAACTTCTGCTTCTTTCACTGCCATGTAGGGCACAAAAATGTTTACTTAAGGTGCTACAGGCGAATTCTTTATCCATATTGCATGCACTGCCCATAACAGCTGCCTGTCAGACATGAACACAAGCAGAGTGCTAGCTGATTGACTGTAATCTGAAATATGCTGGTAACTGCTGATTGAGATCGCTTCACTCCCACCACGAAGTTCTGAGGCATTAAAGCACAGAATGAAAAAGAAATGTGAAGTCTGAAGCACCAACCTACAGAAATCTCCCCGTGAGTGGATTTCCCTGAATTCTATTCATAGATGCAGCTGAGGGCGTATATAATATAAAACAGTGTCTAAGTGCTTGTAGCTTTATACATGATGGGCAATTCAAGGCGCCATTACTAAATTGAAAAAATGGCAGTATAGAGAATACTATGAAGTTTCTGGATTGTAGCCCTCTGCTACTTCTACTAAATCACTCTCATTTGCACTTTATAGTGTTATTCTACAAAGACTGTACCAGATCCTGTAATATTGCAAAATCTTGCATAAATAGCTTTTTTTTAAAAAAAAAAGAAGTCCCAATTTTTCCAAGAATAGTCAGACATGAAACCATTTGTCATCAGCAAAGCCAACCAGCGCGCCAAGGGCTGAGTATCCAGGCCAAGACTATTGGAATGCTTAGAGCCAAACCCACAAGTATTAGACTGGTTTGAAAAGGGATATGTCTGGGGCTTCTTGCCCTACTGGATTTCATTTGTGCCTTGTTTTTCAGAACTGTGTTTCAGTATCGAGGTAATCTTTACACAAAGCAGCTCACTGAGCTGAACTCCGCTCAGTTATATAGGATGTGATCCACAGGGATGAGATTGTCTCTGTATGCTCTTATCTGATGATGAAACAGTTACATTCATTTAAAATCTGCTGTTTGTTTGTTTTTTTTTCCAGGAAGAAAGGAAGTCAGACGGAGTCACTGCAATACGAGGCAGCAGCATGATGCTCCAACACAGCACGGGTAGAGTCAGGCAGCTGTAAGAGAGCCGGGGAAGGGCATGAAGGGGAACCATTAACTGAGACAGACTGCAGACAGACGGTGAAGGCGCCAGCACCGGGTAGGAAATGCTCCTCAGTAACTTCTGCCTTCTGTTGAGGTTTGCCTAGATGTGGTATTGCACTCTCACCTTTCATGCCACATAGCACCAAATTAACGTTCCCAAGTTAATGGGGAGGTGACTGCCTTCCCCTGGAATTCCGGTCCACCTGTTGTGGTCGGTCTGTTTGTTTGAAACAGGCAACCCAGCCTCTCCTGGCTGATTCCTGACCCAAGGTAATGAATTTTTAGCGCCCTCACAGTGGATAAGTGGAGCCGATGAGGGATTAAATTCATCTCTCTGTTTTGAAAACTGGAGTAACTGGAAAATGAACTGCGTGGCTGCGGGCACACGGCCGGGTGGCGTGGGAAGCAGCCGGAGCTGCCCGTTTCTGCCACGTTCCGTTCTGATGCGGTTATCCCAGCAGCGCCGGGCCGGGCCGTGGGGCTGCATACGGACTCCATCGACGCAGGACCAGCTTTATCCCGCCGCCTTCCCACGGCCGCGTACGGAATGGTTCCGTAAGGAGGCGGCCGAGCCCGGCCCGCCGGAGCGCCGAGCCGAATTCGCAGAGCGGCCCGGCCCCGGCAGCGCGGCTCGACTCCGGCCCTCACGGGAGCACGGGCCGGGCGGGACGCGCCTGCTGATTGGCCGCCACCGGCGGGTCGATATTGAAAGCTGCGTCCCGGTTGGCGGCTCGCGCCGGGGGGCGGGGCAGGGCCCGAGGGCGAAGCCATCGCCTAGGTAACCCGGCGCCCGCGGAGGCGGCGTGAGGGAGAGGACGGAGCCGGCCCCGCTCGCGCCGGAGCCGCCGCGCTGGCCGGGACCGGGGCTGAGGCCGGGGCTGAGGCCGTGGCTGAGGCCGTGGCTGGGACCGGCCGCCGCTCGGGCAGGTGGGTGCCGGGAAGAGCCGGTCGGGGTTCGGAGCGGGGCCGGGCCGGCGCAGCGGCTTTCCCCCGGCCCTTTCAGTCCATCCCCGCCTCGCAGGAAGGGGCGCCTCCGGGCTGCGGCGCGTTGTGACACGGCCGTCGCTCAGCCGGGCGGGCGGCGCTGCCCTCGCTCCGGCGGTGGGACGGCGCAGCAGGAGCCGCAACGAGTGGCCCTGCAGCGTCCGGCCGCTCGGGGCGCCGGGCGGCGCGTGTCGCGCTGCGCTCCCTGAGAGCCGCGAGGAGGAGCGGGGCGGCGGGCCGGGCCGGAGCTCGAGCTGCCGTCGCGCAACTCACGGAGCGGTGCCGCGTGCGGCGAACCCGTCCGGCGCGTGGCGGTGCAGGAGCCCTCCTGCCGGAGCCGGAACGGCCCCGCGAGAGGAAAGCTTCGGGGTACGGCGGACTGCTTTCGTCCCCAGATGGGCTCACGGGTTCTGCTCCGCTGCAACTGCGAAGCGCGGCCAAAGCCAACGGCGCGCGGCGCTGCGCTCCTCGGGGGGCGGGGCGGGGCCAGAGCTGCGGTTCCAGGGCTACTGACCAGGTGAGAGCCGGCTTCGTGAGGCTCGTCTTGCCGTTAGGAAGAGCCGCTCGTGAAGAAATAATGTATTTCAGCACTTGTGTCGAGGCGTCGGACCAGTGCGTTAGAATGGAATCGGTGACCGGGCTGCTGGGAAGCGTTGGGTCCGGAAATGTCAGCGGTGAGCTGAGGGCAGGGGCCGGAGCGGCAGCGCTCAGAGCTCCTCTCTTGGCCTCGGTGTGTGTGCGCATTGCAGATCTCAGGGCTATCGAGGGCACTGTCCTGTGGGTTGACTTGGGAACATGCTTAGCTGGAATTCCTGCTACAATTATAGACTTATTTCAAGTTATTAAAAAAGAATCGCCATCGTGTATGGTCTTCAAATACTTTTGTTAGTGCCTATGTCAGTATCTGTTTTTCTGTAACAAAAATCACTTCCGTTAAGTCAAGTTTCACTTCCCTGGAATATCTGATGTCATAGGCTTGCTGGTTCCCCAGTTGTCTGTGGAGCTTTGGCAGAACTCCAGATTCTGGTGTAGGAATGGCTCCTGAACAAAAAATAATAAAAATAATCTCTTTGACTCCTGCGATGTAGCAAACAGGGAATGCATCGTGCCTCTTCTCACTGCTTTAATGCCTTTCTAGGAAGCAGTGCTCACACAATGTGCGTGTAAAGAGTTGCACATTTTCTGTAATGCTGCCTGTGTCTGCAATATGCTCTGTTTGGCAAACGTGACTTTTTAAAAAGTCCCATCAAAATGCAAGCTGATGGAATGTTCCATGTGCTGGACAGGGACAGGAAAAACATGAGCTGCTTTTCTTTCAGCTGGTGGTGGAAGTACGTGCTGGTGCTTGGCTGCTCAGCCTGACAGCCGCCATGTGTTCCAGAGAGGGCTCAGGCAGCTAGCTGCCTTTTCATGGGTCTGGGGATGCACGTGGAAACTGCCCTGGGCTCTGTGCCTCTTGTTATCAGGCAGCTTACCTGGACGTGGCCCCATATTGGTGAGCTGTTGTCATTTGACATTCTGTTTTACGTAGAGTCCATGTTGCTGTTTAGGCTTTAGGTGGGTTTTCTGGCCTGTTATGCTTGGTAGCAGCAGAGCACAAGTTACTCATTAACTTTTTCACAACTGGCAGTTTTTGTGAATGCAATGCAGGAGAGAGAGAACCTGAAGTAAATGCCGTTTGTACAGGTACATAGGAAAGCTTGTTTGTTAATGAGCGTTTGTGTTCATGTTGATGTGCTCAGAGCATTAATACCTGTAGTGTCAGAGTCTGCATCTCTGTTTGCCTCAAATGTGAGGACCTGGAATCCTGAGGGAAGAGAAATATCAGCGTTAGTGCACTGAGCTTTGTTTTGTGGTGGTGCTGATGGCCCTCACAGGGCTGCAGTGTGTTTTGCTGGGATAACTACGTCAGCTCTTGTGGCTAATACCGACTTACGTTAGAAGCAGAGCAGATTTAAAAATTAATTTTAAGAATTCACAATAAAAACCTGTAGTTGCACAGTTCTACTTTGTGACACAAGGTCTGTGCCCGCAGTCTGGGCTAACAGTGTGGCGGGGCTGCCACCAGTCGCACTGTGCAGTTATGAGGCCGAGAATCTGTGTTTGTGCAGTGCCTGGGGTGTCTGCTGCTTTGTGTGCAGCACTGACCCAACTGTTCTACAGGCTGTTGATTTCACATGAATAAATCTTCATGTCTGAATATTCGGTGGAAGTACATTCAGGAATTCAGGAGCCTCCATTTACGTGCGTTACAGTTGCAGGGCGAGGCCCCTGTGAGTAAACAGGCTGTGTGTGTTGTGAGCAGAATAATAGGATTTACCTGGTGGCTTCAGAGATAATAGAAACAATAATGAAACTGACGACGTCAAAAAAGCTTCCTCTGACAAGGCGTGAGATAGGAGCAGTTGCACCACCTCCCATGGATTTGTTTGCTCTGTTTATTGGTTTGGCAGCTGTAGGTAGCCCAAGTTTCATTGCAGCGTGCTGCAGGATGTGGCCTCAGAGACTGCACTCAGACGGGGCTGTCCTTGGTAAGGTGTCTGCTACCTCTGCTTTGTGGCTTTGGCTGAGGCAAAATGCCCCAAATGTTTTTCAGTTGCTTTGTTTATTGAAAAGTTTGGGGGCAGATGTGATAACTTTGTTGTTTGTTTTTAAGTTTGGAATTAATCAAAATTACTATTTTGACTTTGAGACAGTCTACATATATGGAAATACTTTATCTACTTTGAAAAGAGTGTCAAAATGAGTACTGTAATTACTGTCTTAATGTAAAACTTACAAGATATAAACTTCAGTACTTAGTTTCTTTCAGAACTATGAAAAGCATGCTTTTGATAAGCAGCGTTGTTTTTAATGTTCTCCATGAAACTGAACTACAAAAAGTTTTCTTCTACTTACATGTATCTTGGTATGATTCGCAGTACCAACTCCTCTAATTTTTTACATAAGTGTTGTGAATTCTGCATCAAGCTATCCTAAAAGAGATTCCATCACAGATAGCAGCATCCAGTTTTATGCTTGTGCAATTTAATCTACGCGTTGCTGTAACGCTGAACCGTTTTACTTCTGAAGTTCAGTTGCTAAATGATCCCAGATTTTTTTACTTCTACACGTTTATTTATTTTTTTATTGTTAACAGAAACTTCTGAGCAAGTGAGGTCTGGTGCCTTGGGGCAGGGGTGGAGTGAGATAGAAATAGGTGAAATGGATCTGCCTCTGAAAATGAGCACTTCCCAAGGGGCCTTGAAGAATGATGAATACTGCTCATAGAATAGCTGTATAAATACACTTGCCTGCAGAAACTGTGACTGAATGGTATGGATATGTCCTATAATGGAGAAAGAATTTGTGTTGTGGATTCCATTTTTGTGTCTGTATATGATGGCGTATTGCATGAGTTTACTTGTAAGAGGTGGAGGTGAGAAGCCCGTGATTTCTGATTTCCTTTTATATGTCTTACAAGCAGTAAGTGCATTTATGTTATTGTCTTTTGGAAGTGGAGTTTTGGGATACACCAAAGCTTTAGAGTGAATATTCTGAACTTCTTTTCCCGATGTTCTTCTGAGGCTTTTGTTCCCTTTCTTCTTGTATCCAATGTAGGAAACAGAGATTTTTGTCCACATCTTAAAAATTTTCATCAATTCCAAATTAATTAATGAGGAGTCCACTGGGACCTCAGCGTTTGCCCTTCTTTGGTTGTTGCTGTACTCCCCTTGCCCCCAGCCCGTGCACTGACTGGAGTTAAAGTGCGTGGGGATGCTGAGATGGGTTCAGTGATGCAGGTCTTGAGGTTGGATGAAGTGGTGTCATGTGCATGGGGGCTGAGCTGGGTGGTAGAGGTGGAGAAACACATTTATGGAAGATGTGTGAGTGTCTGCTTTTAGGGATGTTGTCAGTTAATAGGAATTAATAAGAATATTAGCATCTCTTTGGTTTTATTATGCAGTATTGTTATGAAGCGTTTGTCATTTTTCAGTGGTTTTGAAGGTCCTTCATTGGTCTGTTTGAGTATTCGGAGAGCATATGTAAACAGAAATGGTGTATTTCAGAAATAAACGTAGGAACTGTCAG